ATTTTGCTCGAGCCTACGTCGATGACATAGCTGTTTATTCAAATAATTGGAATGAACATTTAGTACATCTTGACACCATTTTTTCAAAACTGTTAGAACTACAGTTTTCCGTAAATCTCAAGAAATGTTCCTTCGCTAAAACTCATATTAAGTATCTAGGACATATCATCGGTTCCGGCAGTCATCGTACAGATCCAGAGAAAGTGGAGGCTATCCAGAAATTAGCTAGACCTCAAACAAAAAAACAATTTAAAAGCATTCTAGGCCTATGTAATTATTAAAGAGACTACATTCCACATTATGCCGAAACAGCTTATCCATTAACCGAGCTCACCAAAAGAAGAAGTCCTGAAGAGCTGTGCTGGACAGAAAACACGACGAAGCATTCATTAAATTAAAGAAATGCCTAATGGAAGCACCTAGTCTTTATACCCCTGTTCCAGGGTTACCTTTTCTAATTCAATGTGATGCATCTTCAACAGGTGTTGGAGCCTGCTTATCTCAAAGGAAAAACGGAAAGTTGTACCCGATTAGTTACGCCAGCCAGAAACTTACCAAAACACAACAAGCATGGCCAACTATCGAGAGGGAAGCTTATGCTGTTATTTGGAGCTTGAAAAAGTTTTAAAACTTGGATTTTTGGATCACCTGTGGAACTGATAACTGATCACAATCCGTTAACATTCATCACAAAGAACGCACCACAATCTTCTAAGTTACAGAGATGGGCTTTAGCATTACAAAAGTATGATACTACAATTTCACATTGCCCAGGTGCTAAGTTAAGCAATGCTGATGCGTTGTACAGACTAGAGACTATTGAGTGACTTGTGTGAAAGAAAGAACTTTTCATATACATTTATGAACTCTTAATATTATTATTTTTTATGTGTGTGTTTCTTTTTCAGCTACTCTCCTAGAGACTTTTAAGTATATCATAGACGCTTTAAGTTTTCTATTGCATTAGAATTGTTTGAATACTAATTTTTAATCATTTATATATTACAGTTTTAGAAGAAGTCTTGTAGTAGGTGTAGAAACTAACCTGTATAAGTATTGTGTTATATATCTTTCAACTTCAGTATCGATTGATTTGTAGACTTTAGTAGGTAAGTAACTCTTTCGTTTGACGTCACCATAATTTGTCATATTTCAATAGGCTTGCACCCTATTTCAATCTTGGATGGGGGGTGTGATGTATGGGTGACGCCAACCAACAAGATGTATAGAGGGGCGCTAACTCTCAGTCTGGAGAGGCGCCAAAAGTTTAGTTTCCAAGAGGAAGACCGACAAAGAGGTCATACGGAAGGCTCATGGGAGCCATTAATGAAACCGAAATTCCTTTTTATTACTTTATATATTTCAGTTATTAGTAGTGTAGTTTAGTATTAGTTTGTGTTTGTAAAATAAATGTTTAAAAATACAAGAAGGTGGAGTTATTTTTATTTCTCTATGAGGCGGTGGATGAAGAAGGGATGATATCACAAAGATGTTGAAAAGATGTATCCGCTCTAACCACGTTGACTTTCGAAGTGTCCGCTCTGACCACGTCCGCTGTAGCCACACCACCTCTGTTTTTTCGTCAACCGGCAGTTCGTTGGACAGGTGGTTTGCAAAGAGTTCAACTTTCTGCTCATTAATGTAGAATGGCTTCTATGAGTTTCTGAGGGTTCTGCTCTGATTTTTCGACTGTTTGAGGTGTTTAACAAATTGAGTATATTCTAGATTTAGATTGAGATTTTACCGTTCCAAGTGGCAGTCCTATGTTCTTCAATTAGTTCCTTAACTGTAAGATTTTACCTATTTATTTATTTATATTTGGGTCTTATAGCTATAGTTGAAATCTTTTCATAGTCTATTTTTTGCTTTAAATGCATCTATGATATGCACTGGTAGTTTGTGCTTGTCTAGATTCTCGACAATCGTTTATGTTGCATTTTCACGTGCTTTTTGGCGAAATTTTGAGCGCATCGATAGCTTTATCGATGTCAACTTCAGCTTTCATTGAGCCAATATTTTTTACATTTGAGGTGACTGTGATATTATGGAACAAATGTCAGTCCGTCACCTCGACGGAGGGAAATTTCTATGAATTCCAGATATGCAAGCACGAGGACGTGGTCAGAAGACAGTTCATTGGGCACCGCTAGTTGCATAAGAATATTCACTGTTGAAATAAAAAGTTCAAGATATCAAAAATGTCGTTTGTTAATGACATTTCTCCGGTAAGTGGCTCGTCTGGCAGGTGTAGGAATACTGGATTATTCGTAATGTAGCCATGCATCACATGACCATTTCTATTTGTATTACAGCAGAACCAGTCTGAGTGTTTTGCATTAATATCTCGCCACTTAGTAAAGCATTCATATGCACATTAGTGATGAGGTTTCCGGGGGCTGTAGATTACATAGGAAATAGGAAAATTTTTAATGCTTTAAATCCATGGGAGTTATCCGACGAAAGGAAACAACAGTTTAATATTCAATTTACGTACATCAGAGCACCGCCGCCACGGGGATGAAGTCTATCACATCCGTAAGATGAAAGATTCGCTAGCTTAAACTATAAGAAGGTGTAGCTTGAGTTTCAGTGATCATACAGATATCATGTTGCGAGATGAATCGACGAAACTTATGGATTTTCATGATGATATTGCTTATTTTCCACAGAATAATTTTCAGAGGTGAGCACGTATTTTGAGTGTGATTATCCATCATTAACGGTTTCGTTTCTTGCTGTATTTCCAGCATTTTGAGAGATAAGGAATATTTGCACTGCATCTTTCAGCACTGGCTAAAATTTTGATATGGAATCATTATCCGTTTTTATCTCAGCCTTGTAATCTTTCAAGTTTCGAACGTTAAGCAATTTGGGAAGGCAAAAAGGTAAATGCGCCTCACCTATATACAGAGCGGTCATAAAAAATCACTGTTACGGTCTCATAGAAAAAAAAATCGTAATTTTAGAATGGCATCAGCCACTTTGTTTCTACGCAAATTGATGAAAGCATTGGAAAACCATAAATGGTGTTAGAACGATACACGTTCGTTCCAGCACGTTGCTTCTTCTGAAAATTAGTTCGTATTATGCCATTACATAACAGTAGTATTTCAGATATTTTTTACCCAGTTACAATTCAAAACTTAAACGAAGCCCCACCCCCAAGTCTGTAAATACCAGTGTTACTAATTTCGAAGACCTTTTTACTATTCCGCTAGCTGCTGCTTAGAAGTGTCATTTGCCTTTGCTATCTACTATTTAAAGAAATGTAAACTTTATTAAGTGGCGGGGTGCATATCGCACCTATAATGATGTTGTGTAATTTAAAAGAATATCTGTCCAAGAATTAGCTATTAAGAGGTAAAATTATTTGTGGGAATGACGGCAACGTCTCTCTTCAAGTGCCATCCTTCTAACTAAGCAGTAAAGCTTCTCTAAGTTATTACAACGCAAGAAAATATCACCAAGCCATTGCAGCTATTCCAAAATCATTCCCATTGCATGCACGTACGTATTGAGCAAAACAGTAAATTGTAGAAAAACAGATTGTGGAAAATCGCATTGGGAAAAAAAAACGGCGGCACCTAGAGCCGTCAAAAACCGAATACACACGGTCTTTTACAAGAACATGCGCAACTCAAAGCTCGAATTTTGAATTTGATTCAAACAGTTCTGAGTTCCAAATGCACCAATTTAAAAGCAATCTGTTGCCACTAGGCAAAGCATAAAATATTTATTAATCTTTCAAATTTAATTCACAGACTTGGCAATTGAAAAGAAATATGTTGACCCAGCGTAAAATAAAAGGTCTTTATGTTACACTCGGCTTTGCATGAATGTCTCCTCCAAATATAGTGGGCATGTTATCACTTAGTAAAGCATTTATATGCACATTAATGATAAGGTTTCCAGGGGGCTGTAGATGCAAATCCAAAAACAGGCAAAGTTTTAATGCTTAAAATCCATGGGATTTATGCGACGAAATAAAGCAACAGTCTAATGTTCGTTTTACGTAAAATTTTCTATAAAGAGTAATATATTAATATTTAATTATTATTTCAATTTTAATCCATCTGTTAATTATTAACAAAGTTAACGATTTAAAAGCAATAAACACAGTTTTTCATTTCCATTATTATTAATTATTACCTTGACCCGGAAAATTACACTAGCTGGACTCAAAAGCATTATATATGTAAGACACAAAATATGTAAAGGAAACTTCTAACTTTAATTTGCAACTGTTCCTTAACTCTCCATTTCAATTTGGGTATTTCCCCATTCTGTTCTGAAAATAGTAAAGGCTTACAATAAATCACTCTAAACTATGTCATTTTTAAATTAATAGCCATCATATTACTTTTACATAACGCTGTTAATGAAGATGGTTTTGAAAATGGATGTTATTAGCCAATAAGAAAACTACAAATTATAACTATATCATTCTGAACTAAGATAATTTTTTACATACTTCCCATTTGCTTTTCTTGCTAGTTAGACGTCCTGAAACGTTATTAAAAATGTCACTTCACTTATTAAATTTTTTGGCTAACGAGAAATAAAAATAATTATTTAAATCAGCCATGACTGCAAGTTTCTTCACTGCACACCTACTACATTACTAAATTTTGTAAGTTATAAATACACACTTTTCTATTAGGTGCTATCCTAGATAGGTTTTTAAGCTTTATTAGTTATTATCACGTTTTCAATTTAAATTCAGGTGCACTAGAATAACTATTACAAAAAATTAAACTTATCACGAAATTCAAGACGAGAGAATTGTTTAAGAGGTTGCATACGGTTGAGGTTATGTTGAAATGAAAGACTATAGCTATTTTATTTTAATGTTAACAGGTTTTCAAACATGTGAATTCATGTCATATAAATGAATGAACGAGATTATATTGCAATAAAATTGTTAACAAAGCTAATGACCCTTTGATTTCTTAATGAATATCAACAAAGCATAAATATCAATCAAGTTAAACCCCGAAAAATTTAAAACTAGAACATACTTTATTTCTAATATAATTCGACAGCTGTTACACAAAAGAAAAACAGTTTTTAATAACAGACGTCTTTGATGAGAACATTAAAGTGATTTTACATTGAAAACGCTTTCCGTGTTTCCTCATCACCAAATGTTTCCTTATCGCTAATCTGTTGTTGAAGCTATCAGTAATCATACACTTCAAACAATTGCATGTTTTAGTTACAGCACTAGACGGTGTCATGCATTCTTTCTGGGTACAAAAAAATCAAATACAACGAATAAATCAATATACAATGTAAAAAAATTTCAAAAATTGAATGAAAGATAGAACATACAAATACATACATTTATAATATATATATATAGCAATTAGAAACAAAATATAACTATAAGAAAATTATGATACAAAAATGATTCTCAACTTGACTGCAAAATTGTAGCACAAATCACTCGGATAATGCAAAAATTATGATTGCCTAACACAAATTTCAGTGCTTAGGAATTTATTAAATTTTTGGTCCATGCACTTTTTATCCTAATGGAGACAAAAATGATTACAACAGTGATTTTTAATTTATTATAGTGATTAAATTAAATTAATTACGGCAATTAAATTAAAAATCACTATAAAATAATAATTTTTAATTTAATCATTATGAAATAGTGATCATCGTGGAAAAATACTATAAAATAAGTGTTTTTTTCCAATAATAAATAAATGGTTAAAAGTTACAAAAGATTCATTTTAAGTTATTAATACGAATTAGAAATCGAAAGGTAAAAATCTAACTTAAAAACTCTAAAACGTATGAAAACAGTGTTACCTAATATATAATATCATTCACAAATAAAAATTGCATCAACGATTCAGTACGAAATGAAAGGTTGAGATTCACTGTCGTAACACATAAATATTTTAAAATGACAACATATTCTCATAAACAGAAGCGAGGAAACTCTAAACTTAACACATATAACACAGACACAATTCTCTCTAACAAGTTACATAACTTCGTTAAGTTGGAGTGACATAATTGTTTAGAAGCATACACGTGACTACAGCATCTCTTCTACCTCCCATAATATTGAAGTAGATATAATTGTTGCGCCTCTCGGATACACATTTTTGGTTTGGCAGCTCTCTGTGACTCTTTGAAGACTCAATACTATAAGTATATGCAGTTTCTGGACCAGAAGTGTTTCTCGGACTGAGATTTACTTAAGGGATTGTAAAGCACGAAGACCAAGGCACGTGCTGAAGACGTACAGGATAGCGTTCACAATACCCACAGCCTGTAAAAAAACCACAAAAAAATGTCATACATATGAATAAAATTGGATAAGGTGATATCATAACAAGATAACTATTTTCGAACAACTCTGAAAATGACATGACTATGAGATAATCGATTAGATAAAAAAGAAAAATGAAAGTTTACCAGTATCTATTCATCAAACTTTGTATTAAAAACACCAGAATAAGAAAGAATGGAAACTTCTGGTTAAAAATTAAAAAATCTTCCCATTTACTAATTTTAATTTACCGTTAAGTAGACCATTTCATTATGAAATTCGTGCAGATCGGAGATTCCTTTTTTAAATTTGTAAAGTATTTATTTATTGTATTTAATCAACTATTTTATGTTGAGAGAATCTATATTGTCAATTCTTCCTTTCCATTTTCCTGCCAGAATACTAATTTTAGATCGCGAGTATTCAAATAAGGTAGAAAAAAAGATAGTACTTAAAGGGAGGTTTTCAGATTGCTTAGGCAGAGGGTCTTCCGCCACGTTGCTAGTTGAAATTCTACGATAGCAGTCTGTCTTAGGCGTTGCTTTACTCTTGCCAGTCTAAACTAAGACTTTTGAAATTTTAACTTTTTCAGAGACGCTATAAATGCTGGCTGGTTTGTAAGCACAAGAACTTCCTTCTGTTCAATTATCCGAGTTCTTAATAAAAGAGTCTTCTATATCCTTCTTAAATTTCCTGCTTCTTACTGGACATAGCGATAAGGCGCTTAGTTCCTTTCAGAGTCTCGACTTAGTGCATGCTTCCCAGAGGAGTGAGACTATAAATGGTTGCAGAGTAGTACTATAGCTGAGAAACTTAATAACAGTTTAAATAACAACATCAGCTTTAGAATTTCAAAGGGAGCATACCTGACCAATATAATATCACAAATATCTTCACTAATAATTTTCATATAATTTTTCAGAAAATTAGATTTCATTTAAATAACGGAATCACATTCAACACACCGCAAAATTCTATAGATTAAGATCACCTCTGCGCTGATCTTTTAAAACCTAACAAGTCGGAAGGACTTGAAATCTCAGCCAACACTTGCTGATCTCATGCATATGATTTTAAACATTATTGACATAAAAAATTCTCTTACAATTTTATAACGAATGCTGTAATAAGTTTATTAAGATGATCAGAAAATGAGAAGAAAGCAGCAGAAAAATATAATTATAAGTGAGCAGAAAAGGTGCTAGTAGCGTATGGAGTTATACATATTAAAAAAAGGTAGTTGCTTCATTCTGACAAAGGATATCTTTTGTCATGAAACAAATATTTCCTTGCGGGATAATAGGCCAAATCTGATTGGGTAACCTTTCTATCAACACCTGTTTTTGGAAGCAACGTTTTCGTTTTGGATCTTAAAAGTTGTTGCTAGCTGCTATTTGAGCATAGCAGCTCCACCAGTCAGAATAGAGGAAAGGGAGAGGACAAATAGACTAGTTTTTCTAATCATTCTTCCATTTGACATATATGGCAATCTTTTCGTATGGAGGTTCACCCAAAAAGTTTCTTGGAGAGCCATATCATCCGAAAGATTATTCAGTCTCTATCAGTGTTCTATAGGTGCTTGTAAAACGTTTTGCAAACTCCTATGGAAAAATAGTAAATTTTCCTTCATTCTCTCCTCTTATGTGTCCAAGTATAATATAAAAGTGCATAATTAGAGCTCTTTAAGTTTATTAATATTTTAAGTTTTTAACGCTATTAAATTCGTTAAATAATTCAGATACAAATTTTAACAATATTTTTAAACACTTACTCCGGCAGTTATGTAGTATTTTTCGTATCTTCTTTGATAACCAAGAATAACAACTGAAAGACCAGATGACAGATAAAGGGATGCTGAGATCAAGTGATACAAAACAAACTGAAAAAAAAATCAATTTTAGTACAATAAAATGTTTATTGAAAATCTATTTCATACTGAGATTTATAAATTCCAAATATTTGCTACTTTCAATGAAAGTAGAAGAGAAGAAATACTTTTGATGTATATTTTTCACGCAATTATGAGTAATGTATGTTATTTAATTTATGTATCTAATAAGAGATGATTTTCATTTATAAAATGATATATTAGAATATAGATAAAATCTCTCATAATTGGTAGACTATAATAGTACTGTAGAGAGAATGCGTATTTCATCAGATTTAGGCATCAGATTTCGAAAGATAGCCAGAAAAACTTCAGTATGTTAGGGATATTAACTGAATTGAATTTTATTACGTCATTTACTATCATGACCTGTATTTAGGGAGTATTTTTTCCTTTGGTAAGGTGGAGAGTTTGATATTATCTTTACGTACGCAATGATGATTGCTCTTTGACACTGTTGTGCAGACCGTGTCGAAGCTCGTGCATCCGGTATTTGTTCATTTCTGCTTAAATGTGTTGTAGTGTCTAGTTTGGATGAAGAAAATTTATTATTTTTTTAGATATCAACATAGTCAGTAACAGTAATTCATGTTATTATGTGTATAGTTCTTAAGTCTAGGCTTTTATTTCAGAATATCTTTAGAGAATATTTAATGATTTTGGTCTTCGATATTAATTTTACTTTGTTAATAAAGAAAGATTGTATGGAATTTGAAGATCATTTATGACAAATACCAACAAAAATATTGTTGGTATCTAATAGTTAAATTATATATAGACAGAATGTTCCACAATTATAATAAGTAATTTCACTAAAAGTGTATACCAATGCCTACAGAAAAAAATCCCTGCGCATTTTTCTACTTAGTCAGATTTTATAGTATTGCAGACCGTGTCGAAGCTCGTGCATCCGGTATTTGTTCATTTCTGCTTAAATGTGTTGTAGTGTCTAGTTTGGATGAAGAAAATTTACTATTTTTTTAGATATCAACATAGTCAGTAACAGTAATTCATGTTATTATGTGTATAGTTCTTAAGTCTAGGCTTTTATTTCAGAATATCTTTAGAGAATATTTAATGATTTTGGTCTTCGATATTAATTTTACTTTGTTAATAAAGAAGGATGGTATGGAATTTGAAGATCATTTATGACAAATACCAACAAAAATATTGTTGGTAGCTAATAGTTAAATTATATATAGACAGAATGTTCCATAATTATAATAAGTAATTTCACTAAAAGTGTATACCAATGCCTACAGAAAAAAATCCCTGCGCATTTTTCTACTTAGTCAGATTTTATAGTATTTATTTGAATTTAAATACAAGATTCTTAGTTATTTGTTCAAGAAAAAGTTATACCTTCAAGAAATTATATGAAGAATAGGAGTAAACTGGACTATGACAAGAATAAAAGTAATATAAATATTAATATCCATGACAGCATTGTGATATTGCCTCCAATTGTTTTATCTGCATAGTGTAGTCGCTATTAGTTCCCCCCAAAAAAGTTTAAAACCTCTGAGATAGAACCTAAATTCAACCAAAACTCAATCGCCTATCTCCCAAGTTTATAATTTTTACATGAAATCGTAATTTAGTCAGAATTCAATAGATTGCTAAATAAAACAAGGTAATTTGGTAATTTTTCGTTTAAGTGAATACAAATATGAAATTCTATTATTAATACATTTTATTTATAAGCATCAATCTCCTTCGAAAGAGCAAAATACATCAAGCAAATGAGGAAGAAAATTCACATGTCGAAACGCGATCCATTAAGAAAAAGAAATTTTCGTAGGGTGTATTCGTCTGATCAAAAACACGTTAAACGGAGTTGAGTCAAAATGCAATTTCATCTGGTTAACTGTCTGTTGTCTATATCTGCTCTTCTTTTGTCCATGAGACTAAATCTTGCTATTACTAATCTAATTACTTGTTATTTTTTAGTTTAGTGGCTAATTTAACTTTTAATTTATTTGAATTTATTAGTACTAATTTACTCACGTTTAATTTGTTTAATTATTTCATTTAATTTTCATGCTATATTAATTTATTATTTACTTATTTAAGTAAACTTAAAGTAAATTACTTACTTACTTTATGCCATTAATTTAAATTAACTGACTGATATTTTTTACCTTTCCAATCGCATTTCGTTTAATTTTAATTAATATTTATTATTTATTGTTATTTTATTTATCTATTTTTATTCACATCTCTTTATGATTTCCGTAGGGTTCAGGCACCTTTAATTTTACAAATTAAGGTTTCACTCATAGAAATTATCTGTGAAATATAACTTATTTTAGAAGTGAGAAGCAGGTAGACCTTGCTTTTAGATTTCATTAACTTTTGTGTTTTAGTCTACATAGTGAGTCAAGTTAAATTCTGATGTTGTTAATATACATGTAATAATTATTGACCTTAAATTATTTTAAACTGTGACGCCCAAATGCGGTTGCAACTAATTTTGGTTTGCTTAACTTTAAATATGTATGTTTACTTAAAGATTTGCCTTTAAGTAATAATTTGTATAGCTTGATTACTATCTAAACTTAAAAGACCCAAATTTAGAACTCTAGATTTTGAGAAGACATTACATCACCTTGCAGTTGGTAATTTGTTTTCCGTAACAAAAAGTAAATAAATTGAGCACTGTAGGTCCTCGACGAAATGCTAAATCTAGGACACCAAAATGTATTAAGCGAGTCTCCAAATCATTGCATTATCTGTAAAGATTGGACAGCTAATAAAAATGTCAGCTAGCCATTCTGTTACATTTATCGTAACTGACGTTTTTCATGTTTTCAATATCTCAAACATTTTAACCATGTTACTAGAATCAGAATTCAATATATTAATAATTTCATATACTAATATTTTAATCAAAATTAAAAAATTGGAATGGAGTTGTTGCTATATACATGTTGTTTCCTCATTACATTACTTCACCCCTTTAATACTATTAACTAAAAATTCTTTCTTTACTAAAACTTTCTTCGCGGCTAACGAAAATCAGGAAAGCAGATTACCTAAACCACTGTAATGTTCCCTACATATAATAATCGAATTTAAAATTCCACCACAAAATATAAACAAATTATATATACTATATTGATTGGTACGTATGCCTTTTCTTTGCAAGACACGTAAAAAGGGCTGTTGCACTTTTGGCGTTGTGAAAGCTATTATTTATGTGACAAAGCAACAAATGACGTAAGAGGAAACAATAATAATGAAGGTTTTAAAACGTGATTTAAACTGCCCACGCTGTGACTGCAAGCGTGCTCTTCGTTACATTTCACAAGCACGTTTGACAATAAATAGGTAAGACAGAGCATTGAAAGTAAGAACATATTTAGATTTTAGAAGCTATTATTAATGATGATATTGTTATTCTCATATCCATGCCCCGCATAAAACTATCGGGAAACGGCCTCATGAACAATCAAGGAGTATGCAAGTTGTTAACAAAAGCTTGACCACGATATTGCTTTACCTCTCAAATTTTTATGGAAAACACTTTGGAGGCTGGAATCCAAGAAAGCAGCTTTCTTTCCTCACACGCAGTTTCTTGAAGAACTTTTAGATCAACAAAACTGAAGTAGACGAAATCCAAGACATTTTCTGGTTAGAAAACGTCTATGCATATCAGAATCAGTAATCAAATTCAGCGGTGTAGCAAGCGAACTTCGTTACGCACTATACGATTCGGCGCAGATGCTGTCTTAAAATTTTTTAAATCCCTAAGGTCGTTCCTAACACTAAAATTCACAATATTCCCCCCTAAGATTTTACGGCTATAAGTTGTCTTCGAAGGGTAATAAAATTTATGATTAAAATTTTTTTAATAATTTATTAAACCTTTTATTTTAATAATATATATGCATGTAATAATTCTTACAGCAAATCATAAAGTGTTTGTAGATAAATTTATTATTGCATAAAATTTCATCCCAAGCTAGCTGAAAGGATACCCTTTGTGAAATTCCTGTGTTTCTAAAATATATAACGTGATATACATAAATTGATTGAAACTCTGTGTAAAACAAAATCTAATCTTGTGTAGTCAATGAGAGATTCTGCTTTTAATTTCAAAATGAATCTTCTAGTATATATCAACTGAATTCATGTTTTATTGACAATGAAATCTACAGTTTCAAATCAAATAATGTTTCATACTAACTTAAATTTTAAAAATCTGTAGCATATATAATTTAGCTAGATGTGTTATATATAACTTTTAAAAACGATTAATTGTTATTGTTTAACGTATGTCCAAATAGGCATTTAATTTAGATTTAACTAGTTGAGCGGATTCGTTTCTTTAAATTAAGAATCCAAAATATTAAAGCTATATGGAGATAATCCTCCGTACTAAATACTGAATTTGGATTGTAGAGTTTTAATGTAACTTAAGAGTTCGATCGAAGTCAAATAAAAATTATATTTGGTTTTTTCTGTGAAGATTTGGAAGGGAAAATTTAGTGTTTATCTCTTTTTTTCATTTCTTTCGACAACACATGAGAGATATTTAATAAAAGTTATTCAAAGACTGAGCTTTCTGTTTAGTCCTGAGACTGATCTGGTCATTGATTCATCTACAGGTACAGCAATAATAAAATGGTGAAATATGTGAACCAGGTCAATTACAGTATTACATAGTATTCGGTAATTTTTAAGTTTTGAATGTCTTTCTGAAGAATTTTCTGAAGAAAACCTACATTCCTTATGTAAACATCCCTACAATCATCATAGTTTAATGTCATGAGCAGTCAAACTAAAGTCTTGCTGAAATTTCTAATCACTGATCAGCGTAAGATATATACGAAATTTATATGTATTTAATATATGTACAAAGCAGCATTTGATTTGAATTTAATTAGTTGAAGAGATAAATTTCTATACATTAAGAATCCAAAATATTTAAGCCGTATGGAGTTGATCCTCCGTACTAAATACTGAATTTAGTGTGCAAAGTTTTAAGAAAGTTCAAGAATTATATCGAAATTAAAGAAAAATTATATTTGTTTGTCTGCTGTGAAGATTTAAAAGGCAGATAATAAAATTTGTCTTTCATTTTTATTTAAGAAGTAAAAATCTCATGATAAAATTTTAAGAAAATTATATGGATGCAATAATAGAAACACTTAAAATTTTTTGAGGAAAAAACAACAAGGAGTTAGAACAAATCAGGGTTCCTCTTCGTGGAATTGAACTTAAGTCCTCAAATTCTAGAATTAATATGCAGACCAATGCACTACAGTTTATTACATGGGAAGAATGTTTAAATCCTTACATTTCCATCTCCAATACAATAGAGTAGGAGAGAAATGACGTTCATTCGCAAATCTAAGATGGCGACAAATTTATCGTTTGTTATTTTCTAAGACTGAAAGCTGATATAGAGATATCAGTATTTTTGAATGCGTATACTGAAAAACATTTACTGCATTACTGAAAAACATTACTTATTGAAAATCAAGTTTAGATCTTCAGATATGCTGACTAATAAATAAATCACAAGAGTGCATAGAAAGAATGTTTTCAATTCATTACACATTTATCATTTTTATTTTTTCATTTATTAAAAAAAAACAGAAACTAAAATATAACAGCTTGAGCAATAACAGCTTTTATCGAAATCATGACTTGTCATACAGTCTTCAAGCAGGATATGTGCAACTACAAATGAAAATTACTGAAGCTTTCACGATATCCTCTCTTTTAAATCGAGAATACATCCATATTTATTTTATTCTAGGCTTGATATATTCTTCCTATGCAAAAGTTGTAAACAGTCATAAAGGAAGTTATAAGGAATTTAGAAAACAGAAAGAGGATACTCACGAACAACGATTTCGGCACGTGATAAAAACTTCTCGAGGACAAGATAGAGGATACGAGTAATAGGAAGGTAGTCATGAGGCATCCATATGCAATCATCATAAGAGCTGTCGACTCGCCGAAAGAGATGAATGCCGCCACCGTAAACTCATTTTCTGCCAGAACTGCTTGAGCTTGGTAACTCCCCATGTCAGCTACTAAGCCAATAGTGACTGCTCCTAAAATCTGAAAAAAATGAAAGCAACAATAATCATAAGCTCAAAAGGTGAAGTGTTAATATTCAAAAATATGCCACCAGTTGATACCATTTAAATATTAATATTTTTATACTCGATTATTGCAAGTGACAGTACTTATTCGTTAAGGGATGTGGTCTAGTATGTCACTGAAGATCCACATAATTAGAAATTATGCATATTAAATTTTATTTATTAATAAATTATATAATGTGATTATGAAAATATAAATATATATTAAAATGATAATACTTTAAATATTATAATTATAATAATGGAAATATATAATAATAATAAATTATATACAGAATAATTGGCCAATAGCCGAAATATCATAAAGTTTACCATTACAGAATCAAAGCTGTAATTCTTTTTTGTAGTTATTTTTTAGAATTAAGACATTAAAATGCCTTTTAAGTTGTTTACAACCTTACTCGGAGAATTATTGTTATAATTTGATACTTATATTTTTATAATTCGTAATAATACAGTATATTTCTTAATGGTGTAACATGGTGGTCTTTTAAAGCAAGCAGTGAAGTTTACCAAAATTTTATGCCTCTGATAGGAAGTACCCTTTAGTTTTTGAAGTTTTAAGCCTGAAAATGTAACAAACCTTATGGCAACCGCCTCCTTAAAAAGACCATCCCTAAAAATTATCAATATTTATGAATGCTCAGTAGTAAATAAAAATTACTATTGAGCATCATCTTCCTAAAACGACCACCTGCGCTGAAGACCATATCGTCTGGAACAGTGTGTGATCATCTTAGAGAGGGCTTATTACCTTTGATAACAATTCAGGAAAATGCAGCTATATCCACTTGTTGATCACAAAATGATTGCAAGAAATACATACTTGCACATACTCGCAATTGTAAAAAACATCGTATTCGTAGTTTTCTATATAAGCAAATTTTAATTGTCTCGAAAGTCTCAATTTCGATTAGTTGAGAATTTTCTTGCAGTGGAAACTCTGGAGCATGTGAAGCTCTACAAAAATGCAGAAGGCATTTTGCAGATTCATTCAAGAGATTAGCGAACTAATTACAAAATTTTTCCTTTTTGATTTTCAAGAGTTAAACTTACTAAAAATAGGAGCAGCAATACTCCAAATAAATAAGGCAATATAGGTAAATTTGTAATCTTAAGGAACTAGAAACTTAACATAATAATAGCTTCCAAGTACACACAAGCCATGAGTCACTGAAAAGATATAAAGCTGATGCATACTAGTTCTGGTGACTGGGAAAAATATCAAATATGTAAGTCTCCTGATTAATCAGCCTCGATGAGACCTAAACTAGTAAGCAAATGAACGATTAATAAAAATTACGCAAAATAGCTTTTTAAAAATTAATTGTAAATGACATTATAAATACTCATACTGCAATATTGTACACGCAACACATACACACACACATATATTAACGTTTATTTAGTTACAAAAGTATTGACGAATACAGCTCTTAAAAGCAAGACCAGATAAGAGGGATTTTACTAATCTGTAACAGCCCTACGTCGTATACGTGGAAATAAAGAAAATTTGTCAATGCATATAACGACAGAGACATAAAACACAAAATCTTCTTGTAGGAGGTGCAGTGGGATGCACCAGTTTTGCAGAATTTTTGTCGCTTTATTTATTTATTACGTGCTGCGTCGTTAGGCTACTATAAGGCAAGAGGGGGATGCCTCTTGGAGGAATTTTTAAGGGAAACTGGCTACATATGAGAAAAACCACGTGAGAGCCCATGCAGTTTCAGATAGGTTGGCCTATCTGTTAGTAAGATTTCTAAAAATATTAGCTTTATTTAATTTAAAAATCTTTTATCTTATAAAATCTTAATCTTATAAAAGAAGAAATATGTGGAGCGTGACCGCACTCAACTGATCAAAGGTTACGTTTAAAAGGTGTTAAGTGTTACCATATTTTTTAATAATTCGCTATACTATTTATATTTAAGGTATGAACTAAGCCTAATTTTGATTTGTCTAATTTCCAGCGGTTTAATAAAATAGTGTTTAAACTGTTACAAATAACATAAAAAGTCTCTTCTAATTATTCCATGGAAGAAGTATTTATTTCAAAGCTTGTCAGAACAAAACAGGAAATAAACTTACATAAAAAAGGCAGTAAAGAAGAATCGTATACATATAGTATTACGTACGGCCCTGTGAATAGGTGGGTCGTTAGCATATCCTTGTTGGGTCACGAGGACCCAAAACTGCAAAAGTGTGAACGCCCATATTGTAATGCAAACTGGCTGATATTTGCATTAGACGCGTGGAAAACCAGTAACGTGTTACCTACAGTTTGTGAAAAAAGCATTCGACTTTACTTGTCAGCTTCCTTAAAATGACATAAAAGCATAGTTCTGGTTATTTGTTGTTAACCTTCTTTATTGTAGTCTTTATTAAGATCGATACTAGTCATTAAATGTAAAATCATATTTGAAAAAATAAGTTTAATTGGGATAAAAGAGACTTGCCTTTATCGCCCAAAAAGTACGCCATTCATCGGTCATTTGAAAGGTTACAAAGCTTAAATTAACACTAGAAGACACCTTAAATGTTATAAGAATATTGCCTTAATGTTATTTGAAACTTCTGTGCTTGAATCATACTCATTTCTACAACTTTATACGGGAAATTTAAAAATGTCTTAAAAAGAGGGGTAACTGTAACATGAAAGAAAAACTGTAATTAATATCCGGAAATCTGGAGAAACATATGAGGAAATTGCTCAGACTGTTAAAGGACCATTTTCAGCTGTAAAAAACATAGTAAAAAAGCATCTGGAATCAATATTTTTTGCAAACATGACAAAAAGGCAGGTGAGCAAAAACGTTGACTAGGTCCAAACTGTAGGAATTGCTTTAAAAAGTTTGGTTTTAAATAAAAAAAAATATTACGCGTCTGAAGTCGATCGAAAGAAAATTTTATTTGGAAAAAAAATATGTAAATGACCCCTAGACTTCTGGAAAAAAGTTATATATAATGATGATAGTATGTATAACTTATTTGTAGATGGTAATTGTGAGGTATAGAGACAACCAAGTAAAGAATTCGAATTGAGAAATCTCTGATTAAAGCATCTCTCTGTAAATTATCTCTAATCTCTCTGTAAAGCATGGTGGACGTTCGATAATGGTTTAGAGGTGCAATGTATTATGCAGATGTTGGGAAACTAGGGAATAACATTTTGAAAACAAATTTACATGCCAGGCTCAATTTATGGGATTATTGGCAGATTTTGTGTTCATGTAGGGTAATGAGCCGAAGCATAAAGCGCTATATCTCACACATTGGCTGCTGTACAAAATACCAAAAGCATCTCAAACACCTCCAACATTACAAGACATAAATCCAATTGAACATTTATGGGAAGAATTAGGTCGAAGAATCAAAAATAAAGATACTAGAAACAAAAGAGAAACTAAAAAAAACATTCAGAGGAAGGCTGGTATAAAATATAAAGTGATTACACTAAACCATTAGTTGTAAGCATGCCATCCAGACTGAAAGCCTTTATTAACTTCTAAGGGACACTATAAATCTATAACTTTAAATCTATCACTTTAAATATATAAATTTATACTATAAATCATGTTTTGCACCTATTCTAGAAAAATGTCGAATACTTTTTTTGATCCATGCTATGGAATCTAAAATGTTTTTGCTTTTTTATGGTAGTATAAATTTATTTAATCTCTTTGGAAATATGCCTGAGGCATATCTTCATCTTGCAATTTTCATGTTGTTCAAATACAATTTCTTGTTCATTGTTTAAATATTTTTTAATGACGTATTGTTCAGATAATCGAACGAAGGTAGAATACTTTTTGGAGCAATTGTAATCTCAATAGTTTTACGCTTTCGACCGCTGCTGGCTTTCAAAACATACCTGTAATATGTTGGGTCTCAAAAGTATTCGGTCGTCTTATGTATCGCAATCTTTAAATGATTTCAAATGCTAAATGCAGCAGAAATGGAAAAAAAATATACGGTCTGAAATTTTGTATATGTATTCTTGTATTAGATACAGAAAATAAAATAAAATTTTCAAATTATAAGAAAATTAAACAAAAAATAAGGTTGAAGTAACCATCCAAGTATATTCGCAAACCTACCATAAAAAATGAAAAGAAAAATTTTACCTTTAATATTTTCACTGCATTGTCTCTTGCAAGTATAACTGCTTTAAGTCTAAAACGTGTTTTATTCAGCTTTTGGATCAAATTGCAGCCAATTTTATTTCATTCTCTTTGAAGGTGCCGATTCAGTTTCTAATATTTTATAGAAATCTATTTAAGGATTTGTTTAGTTCTCTCCATAAATGTTCAATGGGGTCCAAATCTGGTGAGGGATAAAGTTTAAAGCATTCAGAAATGTTATAAATTGAAATGCCACTGAATTAGGGATTACTATATTAGTAACAAGTTACTATTCCTTTGATCTTTATAACAGGTGCCATACGACGAGGTATGTATTCAACATGTCTATAGACGTGTTCCAAAACTAATCCTGCCAAACGTTTTCTGCAGTTTCTTATAAATTAGCATGCTGGTGATGGAGGACATATTTGTATATCTTTGCTCAGGTTATAACAAACATGTTTGCCATCAACATGCCCGGAATTAATTCAGGTTTTTGCGGTGGCCATTTCAGCAGGGAGAATGCTTCTTGAACCAAGTGGTAACTATGCGGACCTATGGAGCAGTCTTCTTGGTGGTATACTCTGCTTTCATAGAAACTAAAGAAAAGCTTGGAGAGATGAGTGATCACCTTGTTCGTATATCGTTGCAGTGACGGTGCTTGACACGAGTATCAAACGTCCTTAATTGTGAAAGAGAAAATACCACGATCATCATTACCCTCTTCATTTGCGACATCAAGCATCGAAAGTTTCTTCTTGTGCCCTCGACCTTGAAGGCCAGAACGTCACCATATGCCCGAGCGTATTTTGCAGTTAAGCCTAACATGCTG